TCGGATGACCAAGTCACTAACCTACAAAACTAAATTTACACTGACGACTGACGAAATCTCATCACCAATGCGAAAAGCTTTAGCCAACCTACGTCACTTCTGACGTCAGTCAGATACATAGATATCCGACTGCCTACTCATCGTCAAGCACACTGCGTAGCGGCTCGCTTGACTATTATAACATCACACATCACTGTTGACCTGAAAATCCTTCTGTGTTCCGTTGAATTACAATATAATCACACTTCATGTCCTTTGTCATGTATCTAGAGGTGAGAAGCTGCAATTTCGAGTGTCACGCGGTGAAACCTCACCCCACGCTGATATCGATTCACTCGCTGATCAGTGTGAGCGATTCCCAGCCTCCTCACCAATCAATCAATGCAAGCCTAACTTCTCGACACCTTGAACTAGATAGCCTACACAGTTCACAGCAACATACATTTGATGGGCAGGTTTCAACATCACCCAACCGAATCCCACTACTGTTGCCATTGTTGTTTCACAGAAATAGTGCATCATAGGCTTCACAGCCAAATCCCAATGTAGCTGTGTGAATAATCTTGAGCAAGTCAATTGCCTGCTGAATTTTCCACATGAGAATCCGAGTCGTCATATTCACTGATTAGTGATTACGATCTTCGTAGTAGTGGCAGACATGTGCCTAGTAGGGAATGATCTCCGATTAGCTCGCGTAAATCCTAGCAATGTTTCGAACTAGCTTTTCAGTGACAACTCCCCAATCTGAAAACAAACCATCACTAGATCAAAAATACTCTCTAAACAAACCACATATCATCTCGTAAAACATCAAGTAGTTAGCTGTTTATCACCAATAACCTTGTTAACAGAATCGAGATACGATGAAACCGGGTCTCCGCGAAATCATGAATTCAGCCATACAATCTTAGAAACCAAAAAACGAACGAACTCGGCTTCACCAACAATCAGATGGTCCCAGTGAAGTCTCTTGCATCCATCACAGCTGCATTACAAGCAATATGGCGGAACCGTGATTTCTGAAACAAGATAAAAGCTCTCAGTATTTCGTGTTAACATTGACGGAGTGCTACTGCTCAATACATCATTCATAGAAAGTCTACCAGGCTTATTTCTCTCTTGACTAATAAGACCAATAACTCTCAGTTTCTACACTATCGAAGAGATAGTAGTTACGTTGTCACTGAATAAACTTATCAAAATACTCATTGATTCATCTCATTCCAGAGGTTGGCGGGTAGACTGACATGTGTGTGTATCCCTTGCACAACAAATTATGTAGCAATTATGTAAGCATCACGGAGCCGTGTTGATAACGTGCAAGTGACACGGAAGCAGTGATTGCGTCTAGCAACAGCCTGAAGTTTAGCCAGCTCATCCGAGTCACCAACAGATAGAGTCTGGTGTCTCAGCTAGTTGGTGTGCCGACCAACCTTCAGAGACGCCTGAAAGAAACACTGGGTGGAGCATCGCTTCACACAGCAGTCTACATGACCGCCTACTCCGGTTCCCTGTGCTCCATGCTTAGTTAACAATGACAGTGCGCTATGATGCTGTCTCCTCCTAGCTTGGCTACTTTGTAAAAGTGGAGAGAATTTGTCCAGCACTTGGGGCTAGTCAGTCAATATGGAATTGGTTACTTACCGTCAACTGGCCTGCGCTATTTATTCCATCTCCTGACAGTAGGCAATGAAAGTGGCTCAGTCGGATGACCAAGTCACTAACCTACAAAACTAAATTTACACTGACGACTGACGAAATCTCATCACCAATGCGAAAAGCTTTAGCCAACCTACGTCACTTCTGACGTCAGTCAGATACATAGATATCCGACTGCCTACTCATCGTCAAGCACACTGCGTAGCGGCTCGCTTGACTATTATAACATCACACATCACTGTTGACCTGAAAATCCTTCTGTGTTCCGTTGAATTACAATATAATCACACTTCATGTCCTTTGTCATGTATCTAGAGGTGAGAAGCTGCAATTTCGAGTGTCACGCGGTGAAACCTCACCCCACGCTGATATCGATTCACTCGCTGATCAGTGTGAGCGATTCCCAGCCTCCTCACCAATCAATCAATGCAAGCCTAACTTCTCGACACCTTGAACTAGATAGCCTACACAGTTCACAGCAACATACATTTGATGGGCAGGTTTCAACATCACCCAACCGAATCCCACTACTGTTGCCATTGTTGTTTCACAGAAATAGTGCATCATAGGCTTCACAGCCAAATCCCAATGTAGCTGTGTGAATAATCTTGAGCAAGTCAATTGCCTGCTGAATTTTCCACATGAGAATCCGAGTCGTCATATTCACTGATTAGTGATTACGATCTTCGTAGTAGTGGCAGACATGTGCCTAGTAGGGAATGATCTCCGATTAGCTCGCGTAAATCCTAGCAATGTTTCGAACTAGCTTTTCAGTGACAACTCCCCAATCTGAAAACAAACCATCACTAGATCAAAAATACTCTCTAAACAAACCACATATCATCTCGTAAAACATCAAGTAGTTAGCTGTTTATCACCAATAACCTTGTTAACAGAATCGAGATACGATGAAACCGGGTCTCCGCGAAATCATGAATTCAGCCATACAATCTTAGAAACCAAAAAACGAACGAACTCGGCTTCACCAACAATCAGATGGTCCCAGTGAAGTCTCTTGCATCCATCACAGCTGCATTACAAGCAATATGGCGGAACCGTGATTTCTGAAACAAGATAAAAGCTCTCAGTATTTCGTGTTAACATTGACGGAGTGCTACTGCTCAATACATCATTCATAGAAAGTCTACCAGGCTTATTTCTCTCTTGACTAATAAGACCAATAACTCTCAGTTTCTACACTATCGAAGAGATAGTAGTTACGTTGTCACTGAATAAACTTATCAAAATACTCATTGATTCATCTCATTCCAGAGGTTGGCGGGTAGACTGACATGTGTGTGTATCCCTTGCACAACAAATTATGTAGCAATTATGTAAGCATCACGGAGCCGTGTTGATAACGTGCAAGTGACACGGAAGCAGTGATTGCGTCTAGCAACAGCCTGAAGTTTAGCCAGCTCATCCGAGTCACCAACAGATAGAGTCTGGTGTCTCAGCTAGTTGGTGTGCCGACCAACCTTCAGAGACGCCTGAAAGAAACACTGGGTGGAGCATCGCTTCACACAGCAGTCTACATGACCGCCTACTCCGGTTCCCTGTGCTCCATGCTTAGTTAACAATGACAGTGCGCTATGATGCTGTCTCCTCCTAGCTTGGCTACTTTGTAAAAGTGGAGAGAATTTGTCCAGCACTTGGGGCTAGTCAGTCAATATGGAATTGGTTACTTACCGTCAACTGGCCTGCGCTATTTATTCCATCTCCTGACAGTAGGCAATGAAAGTGGCTCAGTCGGATGACCAAGTCACTAACCTACAAAACTAAATTTACACTGACGACTGACGAAATCTCATCACCAATGCGAAAAGCTTTAGCCAACCTACGTCACTTCTGACGTCAGTCAGATACATAGATATCCGACTGCCTACTCATCGTCAAGCACACTGCGTAGCGGCTCGCTTGACTATTATAACATCACACATCACTGTTGACCTGAAAATCCTTCTGTGTTCCGTTGAATTACAATATAATCACACTTCATGTCCTTTGTCATGTATCTAGAGGTGAGAAGCTGCAATTTCGAGTGTCACGCGGTGAAACCTCACCCCACGCTGATATCGATTCACTCGCTGATCAGTGTGAGCGATTCCCAGCCTCCTCACCAATCAATCAATGCAAGCCTAACTTCTCGACACCTTGAACTAGATAGCCTACACAGTTCACAGCAACATACATTTGATGGGCAGGTTTCAACATCACCCAACCGAATCCCACTACTGTTGCCATTGTTGTTTCACAGAAATAGTGCATCATAGGCTTCACAGCCAAATCCCAATGTAGCTGTGTGAATAATCTTGAGCAAGTCAATTGCCTGCTGAATTTTCCACATGAGAATCCGAGTCGTCATATTCACTGATTAGTGATTACGATCTTCGTAGTAGTGGCAGACATGTGCCTAGTAGGGAATGATCTCCGATTAGCTCGCGTAAATCCTAGCAATGTTTCGAACTAGCTTTTCAGTGACAACTCCCCAATCTGAAAACAAACCATCACTAGATCAAAAATACTCTCTAAACAAACCACATATCATCTCGTAAAACATCAAGTAGTTAGCTGTTTATCACCAATAACCTTGTTAACAGAATCGAGATACGATGAAACCGGGTCTCCGCGAAATAAGTCTGTTTCACCTACCGTCTATGCAGAGCAGCAGCGTGTGAATTATAGGCGGCGGCTCGGACGAGGATGTCAGAACCAGTATCGGGAACACAGCAAGGCAGGCCTCCCTGAATTAATCTGAAATCAGTGTGGAGATCTACTGCACTCAGCACAAAGAACAAGGTCTGGATTTTTAACACCAATGTCAAGTAAGTCAGTGCTTCTATGTGATGGTTCAGAGACTTGGCGCGTTAGGAAAAGCACTTCCAACAAACTACAGACATACATCACATCAACAGCTGCCACACACGCTCACTTGATACTGAAGATCAGATGGCCAGAATAATAAGAATAAGGAACAAGGAACGCTGGCCTGACAATGATTCAACCAATGACCTATCGCCCAACAAATATGCAGAAGAAAGTGGAGATGGATAGGGTATACACTGAGAAGGCAAGCTGGGGACATTACGCATTAGGCCAGGCCATCGAGTGGAATCCAAAGGGGAAACGACGAGTTGGGCGTTCGAGGCGAGGGTGACATGGAGGAGATCGTGTGAAAAATGAAAAACTGTGAGCATCGTGAACCCAGGTTGAAAAGTCTGGAGAGAATAGAGTGCGACAGAGGGGTGCTTCTTAAGCTTTATGTTCCACTAGGAATCCAAGGGAAAACTAAATAATAATAAATTTAGAAGGTAACTCGATAAAGGAGAATTTTTTTTATTTTAGAGCGTTTGTTGTAGTTGGTGAACATTCAACAGTGTGTCCTTTGCAGGTACACGAAGGATACCTTGGTTAAGATTCTCAGCATCGCCTAGGGCTCGGCGACGAGGAGCAGCTTTAATGATATCATCGACACGGATTATCATTTCAGCAGCCTCTGCAGCCGACGTTAATAAATGATGTTTTACATCATATGATTCAATAATACCAAGGTCATTCATATCTGCAATTGTTCCATTATTCATATCTGTAAAGAAACAAAGCGAGGAAAATACAGTAACTAATTATGTTGGGCTGTCGAAAGGTTGAAGAATGCGTTGCTAACAAATTAACTACAACAAGTTGAATTGAGATGAGACACTCCATTTCCCTTTCAAATGTATTAACAGTATCACGACATTCAAGCAGCTGCAATAAATCATCAGTTTTATAATGCTTCAGCTTCGCCTGTTCATACTGTCGGTTTTTCCTTCGGTAAAAACCATCCAAACTAATCGGTAGATGATTCACAGATTTGAAAACGTTTTAAATTGCATACGATGGATTTCAAAATTAACACTTTGATGGCAGACATTCGCTCTCATAGCTGAACCAAGGGACGAGGTATTTTACGGATTGTTTTATTATTTACCTGGATCCTTAGTAAATGACAACTAGATCTTCAACCTTTGAAAAGCTGACAAATCTGTAGCTGACATGAACACAGTAAGAAACTAAATCCTGGCTGTTAACCGTCAGTATTTACAGTGTATATCTGAAGAATATAGGTGCAAATGTGAGCACTTGACTACTCTTGGATGCTACATAAAAAAAGACGACTAAGCATATAACGAAGGAACGCTGATAGGAAATTATGAAACACACCGATGAATCTGGAGATTATGACTACAAGTTGCCATGACTGGTTTGGGAATATTCACAACAGTCTGTACTGCTTATCGACAAGAATGATGTCTCAACAACTTGGCTAATTTTCTGTAATTGAAGTGGTCAACGTGTTCCATTAGTTCGCCTCCTAACTTTAAATTACTTGATAAAAGCGGACTAGAAGCATCATTCCGCGGAAAACGCATGCTGAATACACTGATTTTCGCCGAAAGCTTACAAGTAACTTCACTTTTGTCACCAGTTTTGTTTAACGGGACTTTGTTGCTTGACACCACTCAGGTAGTTAACCTTCCTTGAAACTGGAGGTACTTGTGCAGGATTACATATATTGATACATAGATACGAACGTCAAATAAGAACGATGACAGTTGAAACCTCTGAAATATATCAATGACTGTTGTAATCGCAGATAACAACCTTCGAGAAGTCTTTAACGTAAGAGGAAACCAAAATATACATGACATCAAAACTTGAAGAAACCTAGTGCAAATAAAACAGATTCCATACTCTTATCTTCGGTTGAAGAATGACCTAAAGGTTATAGAATATAATATTTGTTTATTCATGCAAGGATTAAAAACGGATAAATACGCTTACCCAAGCCCATAGTAGTTTGTCCGTTAGCATGAGCAGCTCGCAACTGTGAAACCAAGTCTGCGCTATCATAGCCACCATTATCGGCTATTATAGAAGGCAAACGCCTCAGAGCTCGAGCAAAAGACTCCATAGCCAAAGAGACCTTTCCTGGTGTTTTGGCAGCGCCCTGTGCAACCGCTTCAGCCATCAACATTTCCATCGCTCCACCACCACAGACAGTTTTAGGATTCTTAACCGTGAGAGCTAGTACACACAGTGCATCATGAAGAGAACGTTCTGCTTCTGCTAATATGCTTTTCGTTGCTCCTCGTAAAACGATTGTACAAGCTTCACCTAAAGCAACACCACTAAATCGAAGCAATTTATCTTCTCCAATAGTTACCTAAAAGAAAACGACAGAACCAATGATCATTCAACGAATGAGATGAATTTAAAGCAAGACAAATGTATGTACACGACAAGTTTCGCACAAAACGTACTAATGTGGGATGTAGTATCAGAAGAATCCGCTCTCACTTTTATGGTCCATACACTAACAGTTCGAAAGTAGGGATTGTCGTCTATTGTTTCAAGCAACCATTACGAAACCCGTTGAAAACCCGCTTCAATTACTTTAAACAAAGCAACCTAGTGTTTGAATAGGCCTCGGTACAATTCAAGCAAATCAAAACCACAACTTTAAATACTTCAACTCATATGCAAATTATCTGTAATACGTAGAAGTAAATCTGACAGCAAACAGAGTTAAATTGGCAACGTTAACCTATCCAAATTACTTCGAAAGACTTCCGGGAAAATCATTCAATGAGGGCTTGCGAATATACTCGATAGAAATTTTTTACATTCATGTGTCTTGAATGTTATGATACACAATGACAAAAAGTTACGAAAAAATCAATTCTAACTGAAGAAAGTTGTTTTCAAGTTATTACCGATACGAAATGTTCAAATCTCCGAACTGTATTCGAACAATCGACGAAAAAGCATTAAAGTACAGCTGCGATGCAAAATGCCCATGTCACACTTGCCAACTAGCGTGATCTGTGTAACCTGTAAAAGACGTGAGTATATATAAATGCACAGCTTTCACGATGTACAGATGGCAGCTCAAAGCAGAAAGTATGACGAGAAAAAAGGGTTTTGAAAATAGGCGACTTTGCAGCATTCCTTCAACAGCCTGTAATGTTGGGTAAGGCTAAGGGTTTTAAGGGAAGACAGTCGATGAGATAGCGAATATTTTATAACAAACGAATGGAATGCTTTAACGTAATGAATGACTGGGCGTAAAAGGCAGTCTGGTTGCACTTATAAATGTAAATGAGAGAAACATGAAGGTATTTCTCATAAATAATCGTAATAAGAAGCTTTCTAGGTTTTCCTACTGCCATTATCATCAGTTATAGCTACACTCACCTCTTCTATCAAGTCACAGTATCCTAGCTTCGTGGTCTCAGGAGAGTCAAATGTCGATACAATGTCACCGCCAGTAACCAAAGCCAGTCGTTCTACACCTTCGAAATCTGCATGTTCGATAGCCATAACACCAGCATCGGCAAATAACTGTTCCGGATAGTTATATATTAGTTGTCTGGAAAAAAATGTGAACATACGTTTGAGATGAAGCAGCCTAGTCAAATTGGATACAATTGATTATTAAATCACTCAAGTTCTGAAATTACTGAAGGAGATTAATGTACACAATCACAAACACAGAGTTGACACGATCAAATTGAAACGTAGTTATACTTTTCGATATTAATCAGATGCGACAGTTACACTCATGAACACAAAAGATCCATGTTCATCCACTATCTGGGATAACTAGCAATGTTCATATTTGTTAATCAAAATTTACTGGAACATTGCGTTCGGATCGCGTTACACATAATGGATATTAGGAAACCATGCATAATATGCTGTATATCATGTCAGCGTATGGGCCGATTCATCAAGATGTAAAGTAACTAAGGTATGGTGTTAGTTTTGTCTGGATGAGATTATTCCTAAGAAAGTTTTCACCTCTACACAGATACGGTACAAAAAGCCAATTAAGTTCACAATAGAGATGATCCCCTGGATGGCAACAAAACTCCTCGGTGAAGGTATTTAGGTCGAAAAACATATATAATAACATAAATAAATGCAATTGAATGCATTTACGATTTAAGTGTATTGCTGGACAATGATAACACCACTTTCAGCCCTCATCCCTTTAGAACATCTAAACAAGAACGTATACTGTACTAACACTATCAATTCAACCACTCTTGGTTTTTCATTCTACTTCTGTTAACTTGTTGAGATACTACAGCTTGTTAAACCAGTCTCAAACGTTGATAAAATTGGTCTTCAACTTAGAAATCATACGAAATGTGATGAGATAACCATGCAGTAAATAACTAATTGTCGCTTCTGAGAATGGAGGAAGATTCTGCAAGGTTAGTATAAACGGGAAAAACAGTGAAAATTAAAGGATGTTTCCTAAAATCTATCTTCTTAACAATCAAATTAAGACACAGTAAAAAGACCTGTCATAATGTATTTCATAGCAAAATACATTCCATGACTCTTCTGTCTGAGAAGACTAACAACTATCACAAGACATTTTATTACTAACATTTTCGAAAGCAAAAAGACGATGTCACTTGAAGCTTAGTGATATTGCACAGAAGTACATCGGTTCAAGTTCCCAGCACTTGTACCGGTTAACCTGATAAGAGATTGATTCCGTAGATATCTAACCAGACGCCTAACTGCAGTAATTTGTGTGAATAAATACTTGGTGTAAAATACTGTTCTTCTGCTTAGTTGTCTATGAAATTTACCACTAGTTTGACTATATTTTTCACATGATCTGATAGCTAAACATAAGGAATGATTTCCTTTATCGGATTGGTGCAGGAGAACTGTGAAAGATCATCAATCTCCTTTCTTGTTTAACTATTTCAATACACGACCCCTTGGTAATATCATTACACTGTTATCAAGCTCCTTTGTTGTACATCGACTATTCTAGTTACTGTGGAGTAATTTATATGCACATCCTCCAGCCATAAATACGGTACTTGTTGCGCATTATTTATTGTGTAGATAATTCCAAAGTGAAGTATTCATGTGAAGACATTTACACTGGCATTAGTAAGTCGACTTAGATTTATGAGTAGCAAGTCTAACCATGTGGTTTTCACACTAAAAAGCCACTCAGCTGTAACACTGTTGGTTCGTTAAGTTATAAACATGAGTACTTTCAGTCGATCGCGTCAAGACCAAATAAATTGCAAGACGCTGAATTGTTGCTTACTACTGTAGCTGTGGAAGAGATGAGATAATTTCTTGGAAGCATATTGTGAATTCAATTTTTTACCTCTTTCATACCATGCTGCTAACATCTTTTAAGACGTTGTTTTTTCCATAATTCTTACTGGTTTGGAAATTTCGGGTCTAGTTTAAGCGAGGGCTATAAGGGAAAGGAAATATTATTTGCTCACTATTTACTTTAAAGCTTTACCTTCAGGAAGCATTTTGAATGTAGGAGTAAATAGAGTGAACTTGATCTCATTTTCAATTGCTTTGCTATACACACATGACTGCACTGATGGTAGAAAACGGCATTGCAGACACTGGATATTAGTGTTAATCACTAGGAAGTTGAACATCTAGTCGAAGTGGTTTTGTTGCCAAATGTGCTACAACAATAATGTTATTTATTCACGTACACCACTTTATTCTATTATGCATGTATGCATGCAGATATAAGTACTCCGGTTGTCAGTTCAGTTTTAGTTGCATTCTATAGACTGTGAACCAAGACTCAGCTCCACCCTTTTGTCGAGAAACAGACAGTGGTCGACTTTCTTAGACATGGATTTGTTTTGTTCGAACACAAAACCGTTTTTACAGATCTGTACTTCAACACGAAAATGAAGCATCTGGTCACATATTATTTCAAAAATAACTATAAAAGGATTAGTTAGGATAAAGCTACAACTGAATCCACGCTGCTGCAGCCATGCGCTACTTCATCAGTGAGTAAGCACGTAAAACTTTGTTGGTATTTTGAGATATGTAGCTGAAAGCATTGCAGTCAGAATTCTCACAAGGCTTATTAAGGGTTTTCAGTTATCATGAAAAGATCAGTCTACAACACCTTCCCTGTAGCTGTTTGCATCAATTCGAAGTATGAAGTAAAAGTAGTGGCGAAATGTTGTAGATAGTTTCATTTTCCCTTTTTTTAGCTGACTGTAGCAGTTGGCTTAGGAATGGATCAAAGTGTGATGTACACACAAGAGCATTTCAATTGATTAATCAATTCGCGAACGATTTAAAAACTGTGTCTGACGTTAACAACATGGTTGGAAACCTCTCAGCCAACATCACAAAGTGTGATCTCTGACATAAAAGTCATGAACTAACGAATATACTCTTGAAGTACTTGAGTAGTTAGAAACTATTCACGCTGATCTGTAGATTTCATTAGGCAGATCAAAGTGAACTACAAAGGATCAGTCTTTTCAATATTCCAACCTTGCATGCATAACTGTGCTCGTTACGAATATTATTTGAATAATTTAAGTTGTTACGATTAACACTACTGGAAATCATGTAAAGGAGTACTTTTGTGGCAACATTACGTGCTAATAATTTCAAATCGTATGCGATCCCATATTTGAAAGAAGTCGGTAGTCAAAGCGTTAGGCGTCTTGCTGCTTTGCGTGATTTCAGGTTCGATACAGCCTTCCTAACTGCAAGGAGAGTTGGAGGGCCGATATCCCGGCCCCTCTCATGTTAAGGCTGAATGTCAAGCCGCTTTCGAGTCACTGTGGGCCAGTTGTTTCACCAGACGTTCTTGTTATCTGTCCTAAAAGGTTAGCAACGTTTTGTCGTTTTTCGTGGTGGTTTCTCTCAATCTTTTCTTCTTGCCAGTATTGGTAATAAAGTCTTAACTTTTGTCGTGTGACCTAACGTTGATGCCTAACCTCGTCTTTGCTATTTACCACTGCTTGCGACTATTACAAAGCCTAGATCAAATTACGCTTAAGTTGATTTCATCATAACCTGCTGGAATCAGTTCGGATGACGTTGCGGAAAACCAATAACGTTTGCTAACCTTCGGGTGCAGCTCACCAACTGTCTTTATCGATTTTTACAGCAGAATAACACCTCAGGTTTCCTGAGGATGAGCATTGGTGTCACGTTCAGATAAATGCTCAGCTAACCTCCTCTCTAGATAAGGATTCGGCGTTCATATTTTCCAATCGAGCAAAGGTTTAACTGCAGTTTGTTTCCTGTGACCAGTGAGGTGCAAACATACGCATGTTCGTACTATTCTAAACTGATACTCCAGAAAAAGTAATAACTGTTCATCAATCCTTTTCAACAAAGGATTACAGCTGTGATCTATCATCATTATCAATATCAATAAGACCGGGCATTACTGCGTAACGGTCCGAGTTGTCACACCTCATATCAGTACATCAAGTAGAAAGGTAGTGAGATGAAAGACGAAGATGAGAAAATTCAGTCAAAAGAAATATTAAGTACAAGAAAGAAAGGAAGAATGAGAAAATGGTGAGAATTGGTATGATGTTAAGGTGAGGATAATGTGTGTATACATCTGCACCACTGATATCCGTTCTCAGCCATATCACCTAGTCTCCAACCACTGGTTCTCTTATCCCGCGGACCCCAACTAACTCGTCTGCATCGCCCCAACACATGGCTCAAACCAACAGTCAGAGACTTCATATACTGGTACCAGGTTTTAGTCTGGTCACCTCGGGCCTTTTTACAGCCTGGCCTACTTATGCCAACATTGTGTGACGAGGCAATCGATGACTAGGCATACGTAACACGTGTCCCAACCATCTCAATCGATGAAGGTTTATAACTTCGTCAACTGATTTACCTCCACTCCCTAAAACCCTACTCCTGACTTCTGCATTACTCACGTGGTGGCACCACGGAATATGGACTATACTACGAAGGCAACGGTGGTCAAACACCCGAAGCCTTCTCACATCTTTCACTTTCAATGACCATGTTTCACAGCCATACAGTAGAACAGACCTTAATAGACAATCGGATATCACGGCGGCGCCGCAGATGGCGTAAATTGGCCAAAGCCAATCGAGCCTTTTGTATCCGTGCGGAGATTTCATCAGCAACCTGACCCACCAGGCCTGATCCTACTTCCACGTAAGCGAAGTGGCCAACGCACTTAACCACCAATCTATTGTTAGCCGCAGTGGGGCACCGTTGAAAACCAATCCTGGAGCAATACTTTGCATTTGGGTGGTGAGAAACGCATCCCAAACATTCTCAAATTCCCACTCAAAGTGTCCAGAAGACTTTGCATCCTGTCAGAGTCTTCACTTAACAGGATTATGTCATCTGCATATTCTAGGTCTAACGAAAATTCTCCTGTTATTAGGTCAACGTCTACGTAACCTGGTGACGAAAGGGAAACCTCCATGAGAGTATCTATGATGAAATTGATAAGAATGGGATAGTGAGCATCCTTGACGGACACCACTTCATGAGCACAGCTCCCTGGACATCTCACTATAGGCTTTAACACGCCCACAAGTGTTAGAGTAAAGAGCCTTCAACACAAGGCACGCCTTTCACTAAGAGACTTCTAGATCAACGGAGTCAAATGCCACCACCGTCAGGTCGAGAATACAGCTACTGTCGGGCATTTGTTAGCGTGCCTGTGTTCCAGAGCCTGGTGCAGTGTGAATATTTGGTCGATACACCCACAGCCGGGTCTAAAGCCTACCTGGTTTTCTCGGGCTTACTGTCCCCGACCTCCACTCAGGCGTCGAAGAATTATGGAACCAAGAGTTCTAGACACTGTTCTTCAGGCTGATTCCTCTATAGTTATCACAAGAGGACTTCTCGCCTTTTTTGAAGACTGGGATAATCAGTGATTTAGACCAGTCAGACGTGATCGTATTTGATTCCCATATACTGGTTAGCACCTACGTTAACCTGACCAAAAGCACCTTACCACCATCCTTGTATACCTCTGGAGTTAGTTCGTCTGGTCCTGCCGCCTTTCCTCGTTTCAGGTAACCTACAGCTTTCTCGACTTCTGCTGGTGTTGGGGGGCCTATCTCAATGTTCCATTCAGGATCCGACTGGATAGCAGACAACGCAATGGTGGCTGGAGGCCAGTTAAACTGTTCCTCGAAGTGTTCGTTGGTTGAATGTCGGTGGACGCCATGAGACTGTCTTTTATTATGCTCAAAGTTGGACTGGTCAGAAACAAATAACTGTGAGAACGAAGTTGCTACAAACGATCACGGTTGTCGGTTTGTTGGCATAAGATTCGTAGATATCTCTAATTGGTTCCGCTTCTCTACTTGTGTTGAAGTCGCCTGCTTAATGACTATATGACTATAGATAAATTGACGCTTTCAGGCTGCCACACCGTGGTAACGGCAAACCATGGTGCAAAGGTGTACTAGTTTGAGGCCAACCCCCTCCTTCTTATAGGAAAAGCAGCATCAGCGTGGCACTGCTGGTCATCAAAGGGAGACATTCAAGGTCACACTTCACCCAGCAAGCAGTACGACTTCGTCTCGGTACCGCATTCTACTGTAGCAATACAACGGAAACTGCTTTTGCCTCACCATTATCTCACAGACCCTTTTGGCATGACAAGACTTCGAGCCAGTGTAGCTCATTGGATCGTTAAGATATACAAGCCGTTTATTACGTCAAGGTAGCATCTGTGGGCTAATAAAACTTGATACTGCATAGAAGTCCAAGTTACCAACATTTGAAGCATTAAAAAATGGGATACTGCACAAAATCAATAATGAAATATGAAGCAAGAAAATAGGTGGGAGGCGAATAAATAAGGATCGATGAAATCCTTAGTTTTGATGACAAAAAAATGGATACATCGACGTCAAGTACAGGTTTTTTGAATCATACTACGCATTTCAGGGACCTTGATCCTTAGTTGAGAAGCATACGTAACGTGAATTGGATTGAGCTGGAATACCTCGTTAAGATAGAGATTATACAATTATAGCAACAGATGTCAAAAAGAGATCTAGATTTACCTATTGATAAATACCGAACAGTTGTGTTTCAAAATTTTATCGACTTTGTCTTTCATTTTCTGTTTTTCGGCTAGTTCCAGCTCAGCTACTTTCGAAATAGCATCCACTTGAATTTTGCTGCCAAATACTTTGATTTTATCCGCATCCATGGAAGTGTTAGCAATCAGAATTTTAGCTTTTTCCACCCTTTTAGGCTGGTTAACACCCGGAAGTTTATCCAGAAGAAATCCTTCATCCAAATAAGAATCTGTCATGGTTCCTCCTAATTTTTGAATAATCTGTACATCAGATTGTCAGGTTAGTCGCATGAACGAGTAGTGGTCATTTAAATCACAAATTTATTGTAACTTACTTGAATAGCATCAAGGTTCCCACTACCCTTCAACCGAAGAACAGCATCCACAGCTAACTTTGCAAAATGTTCTTTGTGTTTGTGTCAAAAGTTTGGAGCTTAGAGTTGTACGTGCGATCTTCATCAATCGATCACGAAATTGAGAGCCTGATTTATCTGACAGGAAGGCTGCCGAATCTAGAGCTGACATAGCTAACTTAGTAGCCTCACGCCACCCCTGAACAATAGTTTGAGGATGAAGCTTGCTATTAATCAGTTGCTCGCCTTCCTGAATAAAAATGTCAAAAGATATGGAAACTCAAGAAATGCAAGGAGTCATGTATGTTAAGAAACTTCAGCTGGAAGGAATAAAATGTAAATTATTTTTGATGCACTCCTCATCAAGAGTCGCTCTTACCGAAAAGTTACATATGTTATAATATATTTATTAAGCGGTGCATATAGCTGAAATAATACTATCAATTTATGTCAAACACACCAACCAGGAGATTGGAAGGATACTGGGACTAATATACATATATATATATATATATATATATATATATATATATATATATATATATATATATATATATATATATATATAATCGGCAACGGTTGATTGCAATCTGATAACTTGCCATGTAATCGAGAATAAATGGCTGTCATGTAAAGTCTGTCGCGGTACGACCTTCAGGTCAATTGCTTTTGGTTGATGAACTTTCAAAGGCAACGATCGTTGAAAGCTAATAATAAACCGCATTTAGCATCGATGACCATTCCGACTGATATCTGCTTCACTGACAAAGCGGCCAAGCTTGCATATTGTGACGACACGAGTTATGGTGGATGAGACGATATTTCACTATCCCAGAAAAGTCAGTTGTAAATAATAGAGCAGCTACCGTTATACTGTAGATAGCTTGAGGGGTCACTGACGGCTGGACGGGGTGTCACAGCAGTAAGGCGTCTCTATTGGATGACAAGCCTCGCGACGTTACCTTCCCTGTGGGAAGTGGGGTAGATAAGATCAAACGTAGAAATGGCATTTTCCTGTATCTCACGTCATACTGATGCCGACAATACGGGTTCATAGTTAGACTTTTGTAAAAGAAAACCATCAAACTTTCAAAAATGCTGTATGATCGTTCTCAAGGATGTTTTTGTGCTTTGTGGTTACATAAACTTTTCCTTTTCAAACCTCAAGAGGAAAGTTTTCCATGGTATGGGTAACCGGGATGTGTCAAATGACCTCAGAACTTTTTCGATACTAAAGCTGCCTCAGATCACTGTCTACCTTCCCACTTCTATTCTTTACGTTTCTCGACCAGTATTTCTGCACCACCGTTAACTTTTTTCAACTCTAGCTCTTGAAAACGAAGAGTTCAGGGGACAGCACAACAATACTAAGTGACTTAAATGGATTGATCTGTTCCCTAGAGGTCATCTGACCGCCTTGGAGTATGTAGACACTGTTCTGCTAGATGGAAACGTCGACAAAATGCAGGATATTCTGAACACTGCAGAAATTTGTGTTTGGCGTGAGCTTCACGCGTGTCAAATATAAGATGATGGCTCCAGTCTAAGGATGGGGAGTCTGATGGTGAAATTTGTCCACTGCCTACTTGGGTAACCGCATCAGACTGAACAGGTAAGATACTGACGAAATCGCAGCCCGGATACAAAAAACTGGTTGGTATTTGTCAACTTGCGTTACTTGTGGCACCGACTGAGTCTGCTAAACAAGTGTACTGTCCTGTCATGCGCGAGACATGGTCGTTATAGGTAGCAGATATGAAGAGACTACAGATTCTTGACCACAGGTTTCTGTAGCATTGCTCCCGTTCGGCGGAACTACCATGTGAGCATTGTAGAATTTAGGCGAAGGGCGAGGAAGGCAAGTTAATCGAAGTTGTGGACACACCAAATGAGGTGGCTTGGATGTGTTGCGTGTATTGAACCACCACCTAGCTCCATCCAACGGGAAGTTGATTTGGGGTGGCCACACCAAGACGTTGTGTTCTGAGACGTATAGGGATATCCAGACTACCTGGCCGTGGTCCCCGAGACGAGAGGAATCAATGGTTGACGACTCATGGTGTTGGCTGGAAATCGGCTACAATGGCACAAACGTTTTCACTTTTTGTTGTCTAATGGAGCTTGAACATCTTTACTAACCTGTATATTTTGACTTCTCTATCCTTTCATACACTGTCGATCTTGTTTTATCTTTTCATGCTACTGTAAAGTGTAGTAACGTGATCGGATAGGCTCTTGTGAGGTCGTAATTTGATTTTGTGTTGCCTTTGCCTCGCAGTTTTGTCGTGCTTTGCTCAGGGTAGTTATCATCTTACGTAAGATATCCACAGTACTACATCCAAGTAGTTTATATCTTAGAAAAGCACCACTAGCAAGTATTCAATCTGTAAGCGTTCAGGTTAGTCACAGGCGCTTAACTTTCTCATAAAAAGTAGTTAAAATAGTAAAACCTCAATGCATCAGAAAAAATTGTGTGGACGCAATAGTTATTTAGCAGGTACCTTGCATAGGTCAAGCAACTTACACGCAATAATTCTGCAGCTAGTACAGTGACTGAAGTCGTTCCATCGCCAACCTCGTCGTCCTGAACTTTACTCATTTCTAAGACGAATATATTTATCTAGTGGAACTTACCAACAAGGATTTTAGCTGCAGGATTATCTACACCAATTGATCTCAGTATAGTAGCGCCATCATTTGTCACTTCGACAGTGTCACCAGATGAGAGGAGAATTTTGTCCATACCCTTGGGACCCAAAGTAGTCTTCACAAGGTCACCGATAGCGATAGCCCCGATGAATGACGACTGAAATAGAATTAAAAGTGGGGAACTTACCAGTCGTGCGGTTTCAGCCTTTTCTTCATCTGCACCGGCACTAAGAATTGAAATCGGTTGCAATGAGAGCTAAAGCAGAATTATGAAGAAATATAAATTTCCAGTACGATTTCGAACCAGTGTATCTCCAGTTAAAATCAACTTGGAATGGAAAGTGATAATTTGAGAATATGAATTACTCAACCATATGAATTAGTCCAGGTAAAGTCGCCTTCAATCTTTGCAATGCATGACAAGATCAGCTCACGATGTTTTACTAACAGAAATTCGATAAATTATCTCTGAAACATCAGGTCGGATCCTTAAGGCATGAATGCACCCATAACTTGGGCAAAACACTTGCTAGCACATCAAAAACCTACAATGTCAATAGTGTGACTATTCCAAGTCGAGAAAGTACTCCAAGAAGAGATGTAGAACTCAAGGAACCATTGTGGAATAGATTTACAACGCGGACTGAAGGATCACACCACCGCATCTGCAAGTCCTGGAAGGTATACATGCGCACACCTATAGTTCGTTAACTGGATCCACACAGGTCGTGCAGTCTACTCAAAGTGCAAACTACGTTGTGCATTTCAGTCAACTTATATCCCACTATTTCTCCATGGTCAGACATCTCCTGTTTACTAGGTGAAAGCTGTAGTCATAGTTTCCCAAAGTCCTTTAACGTAAGACTTTTGCGCAGCCCATTTAAGACAGTTAATTAGCAATCTACTGTTCCGGTCGTCAATATATTAAGTAGGGTGGAATATAGTCATATCGCAGCCTACTCACGCTTAACAATCGCCGTAGCAGGGAAACGCTACGTCATATCGTTAGGACCCCAAAAATGTAGACTCATAATTCACATTAATTATATGAAAACAACAATCTGACAAATAGAAACACAAACACGAAACAACTAACCATGTTACTGATGTTTGACCTTAAAGCACGCTAGGTGTTGTCAACACAAACAACAAATAGCCATCAATGTTCCAATGCAAAAATCACATTTGCAAGCTAACGTTAGGCAGCTAACATATTACTATACTTTATTTTAGAACTTGCCAGTATTCGGAAAGCATATGGATTCCAGAAATTTAGCTCATCTTCGTCGCATTAACCAAGCGTACATATCTGCTGAAAAGATCACTATTCCACTTCCTTCTTGTCCCTTCTACATTTTTTCCGATATCTCAGTAGTTTCCTTTGCTCAACTATTAAATTCACCCTTTTACACCCATTTTATAGTCCAAATTTAGGTTGCGCACGCATTTGTCGGAAGTAAATTCTCGCAACCTCCGCCTCCTGGATAACACATGACACCGCTGAGTTTACCCACTTTATGACAAGAATTACCTATGAAATTTCCAGCAAACTTCGGAATTGGTCCCCGTTTCCTGATGGTACCTATTCACTCTGCACTTACAGAACAACAACTAGTTAATACTGGGATGGCATTGATCAATATTATGCTTACAATTATCCTTGGTTTTACATATTTGTATGTAAATACCGTCAGCTTAGAGATGCACTTCTCAGCAAGCGATGGAAACTGATCGCTTCATTCTAATGTGGACCTAGTTTCATCTAATGGGATTACCCTTCCGAATAAAGCAATATTCTCGAAACATTGCTGATCACATTGTATGCTTTATTGTTTGAATCGAGAAAGCTACCTGGCGAAGACCAATTCTGGCAACTTAACTGTTCAGACACACAAGGGGAGCACCACTAAAAGCGGTCAAAAAATATACGTGCCGTTGCTGTTGACGGAAGTCTTACTGCAGCAGTCGGAAAACGGTAAACTTGTCGAAACCTTAGCTTGTACAAACCCAGTCTGTAGCAACAAACACTTCCCCAAAATCAGTGGCCTAGGGTTTGACGACTTCGACATTGATGCTGACCTTGATAGTTTAACTGGACTCGCTAAGCTGAAGGCATCCGGTCAAGCATCCTCGCCATTTGGCACGCTGTCGTGTTACGTTGCATTGCTCGTATTCGACTCTCTAGCCAGTTAGTTGGAACGCATCGGTATTTTGGCATAACCATCCAAATATACTATTCCATCCGACTACGCTATCGTGTTCTTCCTTGGTCTCGTATTCGTGGGTATATAACAAGTTCGAATAATTAGTGATTGGTCTTTGCGTCTGTCAAGTTCGCACCAGGACAAATCCTAAATTGGTGAGCCCGACGTGATCACATATCCCGACCAATAACAAATATTGAATTGGTGAGCCTGTTCCATTTTATATTTGTTTATTGTTTTCATTTCGATAACATTTATATATCCATTTACTACACTTTCTCATGTCCGACCACACTCCCAAGCTTATTCGTATTAAGCCGACTACGAACACGATCCAACTCGTGCCATATTGGCCAGACAATGCAGAAACATGGTTTCTGTATGCCGAGGCCGATTTTCGAGAACAGGGTGTCTCAGATCCTCATTCTCGATTTCTTGCTGTCATACGTTCACTACCGCGAGAATTAAACAGGTATGTTACAGCAAACATGTTTAATCCTGAAGTAAGTGACCCTTATGCACTTCTTAAGGCCGCACTCTTGAAGAAAAGCGATCTCACAGATCGCCAACGTCTAGACGAATTGCTTCGTAACATCGAGCTAGGCAGCCACTCAGCTACTGAAGTCCTCGCACGCATGCGAGAAGTAATCGGTGCACGAACATTTGACGATGGTTTCTTCCGAGAACTATTTCTCTCGAAACTACCACAACCGGTGCAAACCGTGTTGGTGACACTGCAGTCAGTCCCACTCGACGACCTGGCAACCTCAGCAGATAAAATACTGGAGATTTCCAGCAGACCCGTCTCCAACGTATATTCTATCTGCGACAAACCAGAGCGCCAGGATTCAGAGGTGACCAAGTTGTGCAACTCTGTGAAACGGTTGCTACGATCTCGAAGTCCTAGATCACGTAGCACTTCACAGAAACGCACCTTGGCGCATCGCAGCAAGTCGCGTGGTAGCCCTAAAACTAAACCTAACAGGGTGGAAAACCCTGAATGGTGCTGGTTTCATAACACTTACGGGGATGAAGCCAGAAAATGTCGTAAACCATGCCGTTTTAAGAAGGACACAAACTCGGGAAACGGTCACGCCGGCACGTGCTCACGGCAACCGTAGCCGGCGGAAACAGCCGTTTGCTCTACGTCACCGACATTAAAACGAAAGTCCGCTACCTCGTCGACACCGGCGCAGAAGTTAGCGTTCTTCCAGCAACGACAAAGGAGCGTCATCTTGACCCATCCTTCAATCTTCAAGCAGCCAACGGCAAGGCAATCGCGACATTCGGGAGACGGTATGCCTACCTCAACTTAGGTTTACGCAAACCTATCCACTGGATTTTCCTCCTGGCAGACGTCTCTATGCCCATCATTGGCATAGATTTGCTAAACCATTACGATCTACTCGTAGATGCTCGCCGTCGACGACTGATAGATAACAACACAAAGTTATCTATTGGCGGCACCACCTATGTAGGTCCGAGTTTAGCCATCGTTAGGACTAAACAATCAGGCGACGCGTCCTACCAGGCAGTTCTGGAGAAATATCCAGAGTTGCGACAACCGAAGCACACTCTTCCGTGCATAACCAGCAATGTTATGCATCACGTCACAACCACAGGTCCACCTGTGGCATCCAAAGCGCGCCGTTTAGCCCCCGATAAGCTCAAAACGGCGAAAAATGAATTCGACCACATGCTCGAACTGGGCATTATCAGACCGTCAAACAGTCCTTGGGCATCGCCATTGCACATGGTTCCCAAAAAGGATAGCAACGACTGGCGTCCAACCGGTGATTACCGAAGGCTTAACGCCAAAACAACTCCGGACTGCTACCCTATACCTCACGTTTACGACTTGACCGCAACCTTATGCGGAATGAACATTTTCTCCAAAATCGACTTGGTCAAAGCGTACAACCAGATACCTATGGCAGCAGAAGATATCGCGAAAACAGCCATTATTACTCCTTTTGGCCTGTTTGAATTCCTGCGCATGCCATTTGGTCTTCGGAATGCAGCACAAACATTCCAACGCTTTATGGATGATGTCTTCCGTGGTTTGAATTTTGTTCATGTCTACATCGATGACTGTCTAATTGCGAGTCCAGATAAGGAAACTCACCTCAAACATTTGGACCTCGCATTCGAAAGACTTAAAAAACATGGCATCACAGTCAACTTACAGAAGTGTGAAATAGGAGTTGAATCACTCAGCTTCCTTGGGCATACCATTGACAACAAAGGTATACGCCCATTGAGAGATAAAGTGGCGGCTATCACAAACTATCCAGAGCCGACCACTGTGAAACATCTCCGCACTTTCAATGGCCTGGTAAGTTATTACCGAAGGTTTATCCCTAACTGTGCCTCTGTCATGAGACCACTAACAGATCTACTTCGAGGAACTGCGAAGTTCGTGTCTCTGGACAACGCGGCTAGACTTGCTTTTTCTAAAGTCAAGGAAGCCATTTCGAACGCAACCATGCTTATGCATCATGACCCCAATGCTCTTTGAGTATTGCTGTTGATGCATCTGATTCAGCAATTGGAGCAGTTTTGCAACAGTTGACTGACAACCAGTGGCAACCGTTAGCCTTTTTCTCGAGGCGGCTGCAAGACGCGGAAACAAGATACAGTACATTTGGTAGGGAACTCCTAGCCATGTACTGTTCTGTACGCCATTTTCGACATTCTGTGGAAGGTCGTGATTTCATTATTTTCACAGACCACAAACCGTTAACGTTTTCCCTCAGCTCGGCGTCTGACAAATACTCCCCTCGTGAGTCGCGACAGCTGGATTACATTTCCCAGTTCACGTCAGACATCCGCCACATTTCTGGAGCAAACAACTCCGCAGCCGACGCACTATCTCGAATAGCTTCGATAAACTATATCGAGGGTATTGATCTCGTTGAACTAGCTCGGCGTCAAAAGGAAGACCTTGAGCTGCATCATGAGTTGTCGTCCACAACTCTCAAACCACGACTTTGTCCTGTTGGATCAGACAAGCATACAATTTTGTGCGATGTCTCTGCTAGTCAACCACGCCCAATAGTTCCGAAGAGTTGTCGACGCAACGTCTTCAATACGTTGCACAAACTCATCTAGGTGTACGAGCCACCATTAGGCTTATCGCACAACGTTTCTGCTGGCCTGGGATGAACAAAGACGTTAAGGAGTGGGCTCAGTCGTGCTTAGCTTGTCAAAAGTGTAAAGTCACGCGACACACGAAAAGCCCTTTAGGCTCATTTCTAGCCCCAGACATGCGTTTCGACCACGTCCATATAGATATTGTAGGACCCCTACCAGAATCTAATGGATGTACCTACCTTTTCACTTGTGTTGATCGTTTCACACGATGGCCGGAAGCAGTACCCATTAAAGATATTACTGCCGAAACAGTTGCTCGTGTTTTCGTCGAAAGATGGATCGCGAACTTCGGATGTCCATCTTACGTCACAACCGACCGTGGGCGCCAATTTGAGTGTGGATTATTTCACGCTCTAACGGCACTTTTAGGTTGCACTCGGTTCCGAACGACAGCCTACCATCCACAAGCAAATGGCATGGTAGAGCGTTTCCATCGACAGCTGAAAGCTTCCCTTTCAGCTACAAACATACCTCAGTGGACCGAGGCTCTGCCTCTAGTCCTACTAGGTATTCGTAACGCGTTGAAAGTTGATGCTGGATGCACTCCTGCAGAACTCGTCTATGGGACCACTCTTCGCCTACCAGGTGAGTTTGTTTCCCCTTCAACTTTCAAACATGTTTCCGACAGGGCATCTTACGTGACTAGGCTTACAAACGCAATGCGTTCAGTTAGGCCTTCTCCGATTAGACCGCAAACGACTGATGTTTCGTTCACCCCAGTTTACAGAAGACATCACACGTG